CAGCCGGGGGGCCTCCGCCCTTGGAGCCAAGGCAACCCCAGACACCCGCCCTAGCCCGGGACTGGACACCCCGGGCTGGGTGCTTCCGGCCTCCAAGCCATGCCGTGGAGCTCAGGGACACTTCCTGGATGTCAGCAGGGATCTTCCCCAACTCTACATGTCCCCCGAACTCTTCCTCCACGGAGTTTCTGAAGTGGGTTGCTAGTCTAGTCTCATCTGACACTCCCCGGTCCCCGCCCCCCCACGAATTTTCACCTCCACTCAACTCCCATCTTTCACCTACTGGTCACCCCTTCCAACCCACCCTCTGCCCTGAGGGTGCAGGCAAGCGCAATCCACTCCTGCTCACCTGAATTTACCAACTGCACTGCCCCCGCCTTCTCTCCCAGGCCGGTTGTGAAAGAGGGGGCGCCTTACATCCTTGGAGCCACTCCTGCTTCCAGATTTCCAGGCCTTTAAGGTATCCCAGAAAACCCCTAACTCCAGGAGTCCTGTTCCTTTACGTAGTACTTCTCAAAGGGAACAGCACCCCCCACTTTGCAGAAGAGACTCTGTGTATACCCCCTCCCCTCAATATTTTCTTTTTGGTCCTACAGTATCCACTGGAACCCCTCCCCCCTAGGTACCTGCTGTGGAGGTAAGAGAATCTCTCCTCCAATCTGAAAGAAGTAACACAGGGTCACCTGAAGGTTGGGGCAGACTCAGACGAAAACAAAGATCCTATGCTTTCAGCCGCTGGACTGTTAGGATTCTAGAACCCTTCAGGCCCAACCCCTCGCCCTCTGAAGAGTGACAGATTTTTACTGTTTTCCTTCCATCTTACTCTACTCCACACCTCTTCAGCTGGCTGAGAGCCTGCGATTCAGAGCTGTTTCCTGTATGCTGAGAGGGTGGATTCCAGCTACTCCTAAAGAATGAAGTTCATAAACCAATAAGCGCCCAAGCAGACATTCTCATCAAAGGGCGGGGGCATCCCTTCATTTTTCTACACCCACTTCTCTAAAGGTTTAAAAAAATCACACTGAGGGCCCAGCAGTTAGCATAATGACTATGTCGCTGGACTCCCACGTAGGCAACCACGTCCCAGACCCAGTGGCTTAAAACTCACACTGGGCACCTGTGCATGCGTGCCCAAGATCCCGAGAGGAGAATGGAGGAGAAGGGATTACGGCATGGCCATCTCCCCTGGGGGGTGATTTCTCGCTTTCTGTCTCTATGTGTCTGTCTGTCTGGTGAGCGCATGCACCCTATAGCGAAAACCTCTCCAAAAAAACAAAAAAAATCACACTGAGAGCCAGTTTTGGCAGGACATGCCAGAAACTGCTGCTTGGCAGGCTGAGGCCACATAGGAAGCATGGTGTGATCCCCAGTCCACCCCAAAAAACGAGGTACAGGAGCATGTGCCTGTAGTCCCAGCTATCAGGGAGACCAAGGCAGAAATGCAACACAGTGCCAGCCTGTCTAAAACACAACACACACACACACAATAATTTACACTGATCTTTCAAGTTTTATTCTATAGAAGCAAATACAATTCATGCAGAACATCAGAGAATGACAGAAAAACCAAAGAGGAAAATTACAATAACTTTATTCCACCATCCAAACATAACCACTATTAATATTTCTGAGTATTGGGGCTGGCAGGTGGTATCATGGTTAAGGTGGCTGGACTCCCACATGGCTGACAGTAGTTCAAATCCTGGACCTGGCAGCTTGGTTTCTCACTTCTCTCTGTAGTCAACTTCAATAAGATAAAAAAAATAAAATAATCACAATGAATAAAATTAAATAATCCTTTTAAAATATTTCTGAGTCTGTCTTCAGTCTTCTCAATCTGTTGTATGTACACAAGTCTACATCATACATAGGTATGTGTGTGTGTATTTTTTTTTAGGTTTTTGCCATAGAGCACATGTGCTCACTAGAGAGACAGAGAAACAGGGAAAGTAAGAAGTCTCCTGCCCCCCAGGGAGGATAACCACACTGCAATCCCTTCTCCATTCTCCTCTGGGGATTTTGGGCATGCAAGCACATGTGGCCAGCATGATTTTCAAGCTGCTGGGTGTGGGACTTGAACTGCAGAGTTAGCCATGTGGGATCCCATGCCTTAACCATCAAGCCACCTGCAGTCCCAGTATATACCATATTTAAGAAAATCAAATTGAGATCACATAGTACATACTATTTTTATAACCTTTTTAATATTCAAAGAGCATTTTTCTTTCCAGTCATATGTTCTTCTACACGACTTTTAATGGTTGCACAGTACTCTACCATCTGGATAGATATATAATAATTGACTTAAGCAAGCCCCTATTGCAAATTTTCATTACAGCAAAAAAGGAATGAATTCCCAATCAAATACTTGCTTCTCATTTTTCTCTATTGCAATGCTGGGATAAACATCTTATAACTAAATCCTTAATTATTTTCTTAGGCTAAATTTCCCAATGCAGAATTACTGAGTCAAAGGACACACTTTCAGGGTATTTGATATATATTACCAAACCACCATGCAGGAAGGCTGTACCAATTTATACTCCCACGTGAAATGCATGGAAGTGTTATTTCAGAATTCTCTTTGCCAATATTGAGTCTTCTTGTTTTTTTTTTTTTTTTTTTTTTTCTGTTATACTTTAAGGGAAAAACGCTTTCAGCTATATTTGCCTTTCTTTAATTACTAATAAAGCACATTTTATTTTGTTCATGATTTTACCTGCTTGAATTTCTTTTATGAATTTCCTGAGTATGTGCTTTCATGGCTAAGTCTTGCTCCTTGAGGTAGCTCATAGAGAAGTTACAGGGTGGGTAAGAGGTGGGACCTTCTTCAACTGCGGGTGTTCCATTTCCCAAAAAGTAGAAAGGTGAAACCACAGGATACTTTACTACAGTCTCACATCTCTGAGAGAGACAGAGAGACTGGAGAGAAATGCAAGGGAAGTAGATGGCTGGAAGCTTGTCCGTGATGGAGACTGGCTGTTCTTCCACCTGAGGTCTTTATGGGCCTTTCTGCTACACGCCCCGATAGGGCCCTGTGCGTTCCAAGCTTGGTCCTTCACGATCTTCTGCCTGCCTCTGTGTTCCCAAGCTGCCCTTCCTCACCTCTGCCCCAGGATGGGAGAAGATGGCACAGCCACATACCCAGTGTAGGAGGAGACACTATGGCCAGTGAGGTGAGGAGGGACAGAAAGGACAGAGGCAATGTTTAGGGATAGAGGGACCTTCACTGCAGATAATGAGTAGACTCAGTCTATCCAGCATCCTCAACCACTGTCCCACACACATCCTGCCCCTCAGCTTAGGCTGAGTCCTCTCCCCTACATTGTTCAGTTTTTCATAGACGGAGGCTGGGATGGAGCTCCCTGCACATCCCCTACCACTAAACAGAACAAACAGCTTCCTGTAGCCCCTGAACTTAGCCACCTTCAGACAGGCAGACTGGGCCAGGCTGACTCATACCAGAGTCTGAGCCCAAGAGTGAAAGGATCAGGAGCTGGAGGTGGCAGTTTACATTCCTGATGACCAAAAAGAATCACATTCACAACTCATCTTCCTGGTTGTAGGAGGGGGCAATTTCCTGCCTGCATAGGCCTGAGTTGAGCCTCACACACCATCCTGGAAAGCAAAACGAGGGAAGACACAAAGCAGCGGCAGCTAGAACCTCAGCAGGGGCTACAGGCCTGCTCTGGGTGGCAAAGGAAGCCTTGAGTCACCCTTGCATGGTGAGAAATTTCTGCAGAGCCTAGGCTCCTACTAGTCCCTAACACTGCTCTGACTCTAGCCAGTCCTCCTAACCCACCCTCCCTAGCTCCTGGAGTACAGCATCAGGAATGGGGGAGGAACAACAGCTTAGCTGAAAAGCTGTTTTGTTCTTACCCACAGGGGAGGAGCACCCAGGCTCTGAGTCTGTGCTGGTGGGCTTCTGCTTCCCTCCTGCATACTCATCTATATGATTCCCCATTTCACAGGTGGGGAAACTGGGATAGGAGGTCTAAGGGTTCCAGGTGTAGGTAAGTACCCCTGAATCTAGAGTCTGGGTCAGTCTAATACAGGAAAAAGTAAGAACAGAGGGATGACCACTCAGATCAGAGTTTTAGTAGCACCTTTTCCCTGAAGAGTAACCTTAGTTTTGGACCTCCACTTGGAAAGACCAGTAGCGTAGAAGGGGAGATAAGAAAGAAGGGTCAAGAAAGAAATCTGGGTAAAGGGATAGACAAAGGTTTCTTCTCCCCACTTCTGACCACTAGAAGACCAATTAGCCTTCGGGGAATGGAACCACTTATTATTCCCCAGTTCAGCCAGAGCTGAATATACATTGCTGGGCCAGTCTAGGTAAAGGCTCTCCAACTGAACAGAGTCCCCTTTCCCAAAAGGTTATCATCACCCCTGTTGTCCATATCTTCCCAGGACCAGTTCTGTCATCTTCTGGATGCTGGAGAAAGCAGCTCCTCCTCCTTGAAGCCAGGGGCAGAGGGCAACAGTTCTTCAACTGGCAGCTTTAGCTGGGTCAGGACATAAAGCTTGCCACTGAAGAACTACTGCGGCTCAGCCAGGTGAGGAAGTGGGAGGACACGGTCCTGTGGGGAAGGGGAAGAAAAATAAGATCTGAGCAGGGCCAGGCCACACTGTCCTACTGGCCACAGAGTCCAGCCCCCGTAGCTCTTCAACTTTTTGATGAAGAGTTGGTTCCTGGCTCTGACCTGGGCCTGCAGGACCTGGTAACTTCAGTGAGAAGCACAAGTCAGCTCTAAATGGACTTTTCCTGTTCCGCCTTCTAGAACTGGAGACTACAGAAACCCAGGCTTCTCCAGGCCCTAGCAACCCATCAGGGCCACAGCCTCCTCAGCTTCCTCAGGGAAGGGCCTGGGACACACATCAGTCACCCAGGTATGAGATGAGAAGCTACACTTCAGAAATG